TTCTGTCACTGTTTTGCCAACTCTGATTTCAATCCACCAACTTTTGATGGCCACCTGACCACACTCCGGCCACTCAGCAGGTCAGTCCAGAAGTCTGGCTTTTTGCCAGCCTCCCAAGTCACTGCTGCTGTTTCTTGTATTGCACCACACCAAGAAGGTCTCTGCAAGCCTCCAATCATCCCAAAACACTTGAGATACTCCGACAATTGCCAAATCCTCTACATACCATTCTCTCGACATCCTAATATAATCTGATATCTGGGTTTTCAGCAATCAACACCTGGTCCTGACACCCTATTTTTTAAAAAGTAGAATTCTCTATTTAATTCTCCAGAGAAAGATTGAAGGCAAATGAGGTCCAGGCAGAAGAAGAACATCGTGGCTTCAAAATCTAAGGGATTGGTTTGGACAAAACTTAGCAGCACTTTTTCGTGCGGTTGCTGATAAAAACAGGATCGCCAACATGATCGCCAACGTCCAATAACGGATATGGAAGAAGAAGAAGAAGAAGAAGAAGAAGAAGAAGAAGAAGAAGAAGAAGAAGAAGAAGAAGAAGAAGAAGAAGAAGAAGAAGAAGAAGAAGAAGAAGAAGAAGAAGAAGAAGAAGAAGAAGAAGAAGAAGAAGAAGAAGAAGAAGAAGAAGAATTCTCTATTATATATAGCTAAATAGATATAGCAAGACAGGGAAGATTTTGAACTAGAATTGTTATTAATGCTGCTCAGCATGTAAATTATATTAGTTATGTAGATGTACTGTAGCCTAAAATGTGAAGAGTATAAAACTGTATGGGCCGTATCTAGCTTATTGGCTTGGAGCCTGGATATTTTCCAGACAACCTGCTCCAAATGGAATCTGCCTTATGTCCATGGAGAGAATGCATGCTAAAAGTCTACACAACCACACAATCAGGTGTGTCAGGAGGAAACTTGGAAGAGAGCATTCTCTTGGAATTCCTGTTTTATGAAACAGCTTTCTTCCAGGAATAAGAACACTCCATTCCTTTTAATATTTCATAACTTAGTAACACCTTGATTATTTTGTCATGTCTTTGGGAACTGAGGAAAACCACTCTACATTACTCTGAGATAAATGATGTTCTTACTGTACGTATCTTAGTTCTGATACATATTTTTACTAATGAATTTATTTTATACCTCTTTATACTGATTATGATAATGATAGCAAAAGTCTTATAAGCTGATTAGTGTAGAAGAAGCAGTATAAACAAAAAAAGGGCAAAAATGATAAAAAAAAATGATGAAGAAATGCTTAAGCCCAGGCTGAATACACATTTACCCATATGATTTCATTTGAATTCCTGCACCAAACAAAGGATTAGATAAAATCCATAGATTTTCAACTCTATGATTTTCCATGTTCAAGATCTTCAGTAGTGGGAAAGTGTCAATAAATATAATCCAGTTTTAAAAACTAAGATTAAAACCAAATACATGCAATGCTTAAATAAAAGATTAATCAATTCAGTCAAATGATTTTCTTGCATTATATTGTAGCCTTAATCTTTTTCCAATTTATATATCATATTTATTGCTATTAATTACCATCTGCCTTTTTTAATGAAGCCTTGTTGATCAGACATAGTTTTTGTTCCATCAACAAAATATTTTGCCAAATATTTAAGTTTCAATTTAAAATAATAATGAAAATTGCAAGATAATAAATATGCTTTTTGTAATCTGCAACTTTATATGTAAGGGTGTTCTACGAACTCCGGAAAATTAACTTTTGAAAGATTCTATTCTATTCAGTGACAATTCATTTTGCATAGACTAAAATTAATTTTGCACAAAGATTCCACTGAAACAAGTGTATTTAATGTGCTCAGTTTTTGTTATTTCAATTGCAAAAGACGAGTGGGAAGGTGGATTTAATTCTTTCCTCCCACATTACTGTGCTGAAGAAAATCTGTCTCCCAAATGGCATTTGCCTATCAGGCTGGGAGTTTCCACTGATACCTTGCAACAGCACTATTTGCATTTTCCCCCTCTATATATCCCCCCCCCAATGTGTATGTCTTTGACTGTACCAGTATATACTTGCCAACAGAGTATAATGATTCATATATAAGATAAAGTAGGCTTTATTTCATGAATGTTTCAACCATAACAAATCTGTTAATTTATTAAGCCTGGAATCATTAAGAAAGGGAATGGAATGTACCTACTGACTCAATAGCAATGTCCTTATATAACTCTACAATTGACTGATTGATGAGATTTGAAGACCAAGCACCTCCACAATGACCCTGGCAGCTTACACTAATTTTGTTTTAAAAAAAACAGTAAAAAGAAAATGCCATGTGTCCAGACAAACATGCTGCTTATAATAAAAAACACAACTAGCAGGGGGCTCCATTAGCCCCCTGCTCCAAGGCTTGGGAGAAGAGCTAAGTTTTTAGACTTATGGAATTATCATCAGGTTGGGTGATCATCAAAAGGGTGATCGTGGAAATACCATTGCAGAGAGCAGGTGCTAAACAATTTTTGACTCCTGATAGATGGCATTGTTTGATAGATGGCCGTGCTATATAAGACTACCTCTGGAATAATATCTTCAAACCTCAATAATATCATAAATTTGAAAAGAACAGACAAGAGGGAAAGAGCAGATCCCTCTGAGGAAAAAGTACATTGATTTGGAGTCTTTTGGCCTAGAGAGAAGATGGTAATCATTATAAAGAGCTCGTGTAACATTGTGGTTAAGGTATTGGATTAGAAGGAACATCCAATTCTAACCTCTCAGCCACAGAAACTCACTGGAGGACTTTGAGCAAATGATTCTCTCTCAGCCTAACTACTTTAAAGAGTAATAGTTGTGGGGGGGGGGAATTAGGAGGGAGTGTTATCTTAAGCTCTTGAATAAAAGACAAGATATAAATCAAATATATACATAAAATTTTAAATATGAATACTGTACTGTACAGAAATATCTCTCCTTTGGAGTTTGGAATAGGCACAGTCAGTTCTCCTTTGTTCATTCATGTAATCTGCAATAATGGTGTTATTATTCAGTATCATCACTGGTCAAAGAAGGTGATGATTGGTGAAATAACTTGCCAATTTTTGCCACAGTGTCTCTCAAGAAATTGAGTCAAATGCCACTTTCAAGTCTACAAAGGAAGAATAGGGAGAGCCTCCTGATAGGTGCACTTCACTGGCAGGTGGCACAACTAATATTTTTTTTCCCTAGGTCAGTGATGGCGAACCTTTTAGACACCAAGTGCCCAAAAAACGCCCCGCCCCCGTTCACTCTCTCCCTGCCCCGCCTGCCCCGCCTGCCCACAGGACCACCTACCGCTTCCACAACCCACCGTAGTCCGCCCAGGTGGCCCTGCAGCACCATGGCAGCCAAGCCCTCTACCTGCACCCCGCAGCATCATCTGCGACGGGGTGCGAGGGCTGAGTCTTGTCCCTGCTGCCCGTCTGCCATGTCCTTGGCCGGGCTGCTCCATGTGGGCCACGCCTGGGGGCGACTCTCCTCTGGGGGGGCTGCTGGTGAGGAGGGGGCCACGGGGGAAGGTGGGGCTGGGACAACGGTGCGCGTGCCCACAGAGAGGGCTCTGAGTGCCGCCTCTGGCACCCGTGCCATAGGTTCGCCACCACTGCCCTAGGTTCATCCAATCAGTGAACTTTTGATAAAGATATTTCACAAACAATTTGCTGATTATGCACATCAAATTGATTGGATGATAATTGGCTGTGCTAATCCTAGCATTTTTTTATTGGAACTATTACAAAGTTACTCTATTTTTTAGGAATCTGCAGTGATTATCACTGTGGTGAATGGGGTCAAAACAAATGGTGAAACACATAAATGTGTACTACACTGACTGACTCAGCAATTGTCCACCACAGGTATTGAACCCCATTTGTGATGCAATTATTCCACATAAATGAAGAATTCCCAGACAGTATGGGTCAGTTACTCTAATGCAGGGGTTCCCAACCCTGGGGCTATGGTCCACTACCAGGCCACAGCCCATTTGGATCCAGGCCATGCAAGCGTGTGCACACGCGCAGCTGCACTTACGTGAGCATTTGTATGCAAAGCTCCATTACCGTCAGCAGCGGGTACGAGCGCTCACGCATGAAGCTTCATTTGCACGAGCCCGTCACTTGCACAAATGGAGTTGTGTGCGTTCATGCATGCACCTGCCGCTCACACAAAACCATCCCCTCTGCCTCCCCGCCAGTCCGCCAAGCCAGAAAAGTTGGCAACCTCTGCTCTATAATGACCGTGTCCTTTCTCTACTGGGGCTAACCAGGCATATTCACAAGAAGGTATTTTGCAGTAATAACTCACATCCATAAAGTCAAACTAAAGCTAAGGCTGGGTTGCCTGAGGTACTATTTGATGAAAGGCTGTTTCAAAGTTAAGGCAACATGTACAGTTGATTATAGTAAGACAGTGAGCAAAAATGAGAAAGGTATTAATTCCAGTGCTGCTCTGTAGGACAAATTACTATTAATATATAGAAACTGCAGGGATTCTTATTGTGGATTGATTATTTCACTCTCACTTAAGGACAGGATGCCTTTTTAAAGGAAATGGACCTTTATGTTCATGTTATTATCACAAAAGATTAATGTGTCACTAAAAAAATTACAGAATATCCTGGATTTATTCTGAAACCTTAGTCATTATATAAACATACTAAAAACTGCTTGTAACATCAGCCATTTAGATTAATTTCCTTTAATTTTCAATATGCCAAATTAAGGGGCTTGAATTTACCCATGTAAAATCCTACCTTGGGCTTAAAAGGGGGATGGCTGAAAACAAAGATAACAAAGAGAAGCTTAGGTATTATGTAAAACCGTTATCTCTCTTCCATTATTATAAACTCAGACCTTGTAAAAAAATCTTTTTTTTTTAATTTTTATTTTTAATCTTTACTTTTTTGACTAAAACTTGAGGTTCTGGCTGCTTACCTCAGAAATCTACAGTAGAAAAACAGGTAAATTGTATTTCCTTCTTAGGGTACTTTACACTAGGAAATAGCATGTTATGAAGAGACTTCTGGCATCCATTTACTATGTTTAGTTTCTCCCTTTCACCAAAACTTCATTTCATGAGATTTTTGTAGATAGATCTTTCTCCTTTTTTTTCCTTAGCATGACTATAAAAATTACAGTGTTAGCAAAAGAAAATTTGGGGAAAACAGAGGTGCCTATTGTTACCTTAGGCTGGCCCTCCCTCCTCTGGCCTTTTCTTTCTTTGCCCTACAACTGTGTCAATGGCTCGGGTTCGGCTGTACAAAGGTCTAGCTCTGGCGAATATAATCTGAGGGCCAGCTTCCAAGAAACCTGGAAAATGGAAAAAATGGCTTAGCCTAAAGCAGGTCCCTTGACTACTTTATTTTATTTTATTTTTCACTGAAGCCTTTCTTCTTAACACCCCAAGAAAATTGGTAAGAGACTCATGAGAAACCAAACATTTGTTAATATGGCAGAAACACACAAAAAAGCAAACTAGTTTAAAGGTTCCACTGGTATCGGTTCTTTTCTCGTGTGAAAAAGATAGTTCCAACTCTAAAATGAATTCAGTACAAGCAAATATGAAACTAATGTTCTCTTTAAAAAATAGAATGATCATTGGAAACAGAGGGGGGGAAAACCTCCATCACAAAATAAGTGTGTACTATAAGATGCCACAGTTCTTTCTGATGAACGTGAGAGATAGAATCATCCTTTTTCTGTAGCCTGGATACATTTTTTCCTCCATTAACCATTTCTCTTTTCACCATTTCTAGATTTTTCATTTAAAATGTCATACTGTTCAGAAGTAATCAAGTCTTTCTTGGCATTTCCTGGTTGCATCAAGGAGATTTTATCTGTCTTATGCTAGTAAGCCTGTTATAGGATACATAAAGACAGATGGTACTGCAAAAATGAAACAAAAGGCAGCATTTAAATAAATTAGTGATAGCAGAGCCCAAGTTCTCTCACCTGTGGAGTTTGCAAGTGGCTCACAAGATGCAGCGCTGTTAAGGCTATTCTGGAATCCATTCAGCTGCCTTTCTGTAGAGGTTATCCTGCCAGAAAAAACACTGAATTAGAAAGCAGCACTGAAAAAAATCTGAGGGGGAAAGTCATTCTAATGTTCTGAGACAAAAACATCAACCTTTTTCCAGACTATTTTTCCATGTAATAAATGCGAAGCTGTTAAAAATGTTAAAGAGTCTGCCTTCCACCAGGTCGTTATTTTTTCCATTTAACCCCCTGTCGTCTAGTTGGCATCAGGTCTCCAGAGGCTTTGGAGCAGGGAGTTCTTGTTTGCCAGCTTTTTTCTCAGGGAATTTATGTTACACGGATGCAGCATTTTGCTCATTTCATATCAAACAAAAAAAAACCTGAAAATGTTGAGTGCTATGAATACAAAAGTAGCATTTTTGTTTGTCTGTTTATATCCCACCTTTATTATTTTTTACAAATGATTCAAGGCGCCAAACTTATCCAACACACCTTCTTCCCTCAGACCCAAGTGACTGGCCCAATATTTCTGCTTATATTTCGTATAGGTGCCAATTCAGGAAGGCAGCACCTTTTTTTACAGCTCCCGGGACAGGGCTGCCCATAAGATTTGCATGGATATAATCTAGAAACGTTTGCCTTCCTCAAAACTTAATTTTTATCAATAAGGAAAGAAACATTCCTATGTAACATGCTCGTTGTAAGGCTATCAAAAGCTGTAGAAATCAAAGAATAACTCTTGAGCACCTGCCAGTCTCCAAATGTCAACTTCCAGAAATCTCAGGAAATGGCCGTATTGGTAAGTTGGCTGGGGAATTCTGGTAAATGAAAACCCACACACCAAGGACACCCAGATTCGGGAAAGCTGATGTTTAAGTATACATACAAAGTGAGTAATCACAATAAGCATTTGCACTTTTGATGAGTTGTGTATCTTCCTAAATCAGAAGTAAACAACCCCTGGATACCAGAAGAACACATTAGAAAAATGGCTTCCAGCCCTGTAGAACTTTTGAGGGAGTTTGGGAGGCAAACAGATAACTTAAGCAAAGTGTCTGGGTCAAGAAATAGCCAACTTAATTTATCTTGGGTCTTTTTATTAGTTTTCTTTATTTCCTCAAACACATATTCCTTTTAATTTTCTTTTATCTGAATGGCTAGTTGTCTCAGATCATTTTTCTGTCATTCAGTTTTAGCCACATAGTACATCTGGGTTGTCCTTTGAAGATAAAAACTGTTCCTAACAAACTACCATGATTAAAATAACATTAGAAAGTGGCTGAAAAGCTATCAAATCCAACCAGCTGCTGCAAAGTTACAAATCAATCCATTCAGCAATCTCAACTTTTTACGATGAAAAAGGTGCCTTGCAGGAATTGTTTCACCTCATTTTGCACCAGATACGAACTATGCGTACACATACATATATAATTTGGAAACAGGAATACAATAGTGTTCTTTCACAGCTTCAATACGTCTGCATTAGAATGTCAACATGATTGACTTCAATCCCAAAGAAACATAAAAATCTATAGAAGTTCCTTTCATATGAAATGGAGAGAAACATCTAAACCACACCATTTTTAAGCCATGTCAATCATTTAAATCATCTAGTAATGTCTTCAATCCTAAACAATATCCAAATATAATCTCTAATATTTCCTATTTACACATATATGTTCTTCCACTTTGATAGACTTGGTTAACAGCAAAAAAAGAGATAACGAATCTGTTTTTAAAAGCTGTGAAATAAGAAATTTGTCTTACATATGAAATAAAGATTTTAATGCCATTTTTTTCTAATTTTTTTCTGAGCTATGAATCCTGTGTGATATTTAACTCTTAACATTGGTATCTCTTATAATTGTCATTAGACCTCCTCAAAATAACATGTCTACAATTGTCTTTATATATTCCAGTGATGGCGAACCTTTTAGAGACCAAGTGCCCAAACCGCAACCCCAAACCCACTTATGTATCGCAAAGTGCCAGGGCCGCATCAGCACTGTGGTGCCCTCAGGGGGGTGGGGGCAGGCGTGGCTACGGTGGTCATGGCAGACTGAGTGGGCGTGGCCAGGGTGGTGTGGCCACCTTGATGTTGCTCGTGGGGGGATGCCTGTGAGGGCTGGGCAGGATTGGGGGAGGTCCAGGGGGTCTCTGGTGGGTGGCGCATCCTGCGGGGTAAGGCAGGGGGTAGGGCGGGGGTGACATTGCTGCGGGGCAAGGCGAGGCAGGGGCAGCTGCTGCCTGACACCATCAGCCCCTGCACACAGAGGCCAGCGAGCACATGGGGGCGTGCTCTACCACCTCTACTAGAGCTTGCTAGCCAGTTGCTTCGGCTCCTTTGTGCTGGGTGAGGTTGGCGCTGACACTTTGGATTGCTAACAAAGAATTAAGGGAGAACTGGAATAGCTATTTCGAACTTTTTAGTTCTTTTCAACCAGACAATCTGTTTTATAGCTAGGAAATATAGAAGGACACATGAATCAATGAACCAGATCCCATAAAGAATTTTTATGGAATCAACCTCAGTTTTGTGGGAATATATTAGGAGCCCCTATTTCTATATATCTCACATGGAAATCACTATGTAATTCTATAAATGGCCAGGAGAGATTTGGAACCTGTACCAGATCCTGAAAAATAGCTCACAAAGTATGTCTAGAATGACTTCTGGTACCCTTTGATAATTAAACTATGTTCTGAAATTGTGTTCTTTGTTCTGAATAATTGTTTTTTTCCCAAAGTATCTTCCTTCTTCCCTCTTTTGTGCATTTTTGAAGCCAGGCTTTTTCCAGCTTTCCCACACTCTTACATGTCACAGAGTAGAAACCACAAAAACACAATTAAATAAAGTCTGTCCAGGGAGCTGCAAATCTATCTCAAGAAGATAAACATACTCTTTGCCAATATGTGAGTACAGCAACCCGGCATCTTCAAATATACATCTTATTGCTTAGCAAGCACAAGAACTCACTGAAATGCTTGTCACCTGAACTGACACATTCCTCTCCTAACAGGGGGGGGGGGAAATCACCTGTACATTGTCAATTTGATTGGAATGTCCACTTCCCAAAATTACCAAGTATTTATCAAATTTGTCAAAATATGTTGGTTAGCAGCCTAACTTATCTCAAAGATCATGATGGCTAAGACAATTTTAGCATAGCTGACCAGAAAGACTCCATTGATTTAAAACAAAATTTTACTGGTTGATAAGGTAGGCATAAATCCAGGATAGATGCCTCCCACTAAATATGTACATATAATGAGGCCAAAGATCTTCTGGCACTGGCTGGTGACCCCATTCTTTAACAGTGTGAATCAAGGAAAACAATATATTTAAGAAAGTGTTGAATGAGGGAAGTTGATTTCCCCCAGAAGGGGCTGGTATCATTCTGCATCAGCTAAAATATAAGGCCATAAATCAAATAAACTAATTTTGAAAAAAGCAGTATTTCAGTAAGGAAGGATACTTTTTTTAAAGGAAAAATACTTTTTTTTAACCAAAGATGGTAGCTTGAAATCCTAAAAATGATACAGTAATCCAGTGGGCAAAAATGAAACTGGTGAGTAAAAAACAGAAACAGTTGCAATATTCATCCTAACAATAGAATCCAGTTTTGTGTATTGTGAAAGACACTGCAGACTATAGTAAAGGTTCTGTAGTTAAAATAAATAGTTTAATTATGCCCTCTGGCTGCTCAGAGAATTTCTTATACAGGATTTCTTAATATTCTAAATAGGTATGATGAAGCAAGTTTGAGAAACCACAGTGAAAAAACATTCCTTATTATCAACCAAGTAATAAACATGCTTGGATAAAATTGATTTTGAGGGAATTAGTTGCCTGTAAGTATATTGGCACATCGGGACTGTACATGTTTTTGCAACTCTGAAGTATATATATTTTTCTTTCATAGAAAACAAAATTGACTTGCTTATAGGCGAGTAGGAACTTTTAATCTCTCTTCCCATGTCAATATTAACATCAGCTACTGCATTATAAGCACCCGGTTGCAAAGCATACTGTGAAGAAAACACATATATACAACTTCCATAAAGCTCATCTAATATCCTGGGTTTGAACTGATATTCTGATTGATACTTATCCATGAAGCACAAAGATCTCTTGTATTTGTCAAAATGTCAAAGTGTCAAGGAACTGATCAAATACTGGACTTGATGCAGATAATTCCAGATAACCCATCTGTACAACATTCTTAATATATTTAGCTACCACAAAACTAGCTATGCAGCTGGTACATACATTCCATACTTTTGTTGGTTTTTCAGCCACAAGAGGATTGATAGTAATATGGCATCTCCTATGTGGTACAACCAAAAATCTTTTTTGATGTTGTTTTTGTTGGGATAGCGAATGCCCTGTTAAACAACTGTTTGAAGTTATGACTGTGCTGAAAAAGTAACTTTATAACTGCTTCTCACACTTAGGATCGTTGCACTGTCCCCATGGTCATGTGATCAAAATTTGGGCACTTTGCAAATGGTGGATGTTAACAACTGTTGCAACATCCCATGATCATCATTTGCATGCTCAACTGCTGGCTTCCAACAAGAGGAGTGGCAGTAAAATTGCATGTCATGATCACATGATATCTCAATCACTGGGGTGATTCGCTTAAGACTGCAACAGAGGTGAGATTCTAAGTCTGTCACAATCACACATCTTGCTTAATGATTATATCACTTAGTGATGGAGTTGCTAGTCCCAATTGTGTGGTCATTAAGAGAAGACTACCTGTAGTAGAAAGGCACAAAACAACTGAATGTAAAAAAAAAAAAAGACAGATTCCACTTTAATAATCTTTTTTAAAAAAGGATAACAAATTTAACATGCAACTGAAGTAACTTAAAAGTTAAATAGGTACATACATTATTACATTAATAATTAAATACAACTATAATCAATCTTTCAGAAAGCAATTATTACAATATGTTAAGACCAAAGTTTAGAAATCTGCAAAGTACAAATGTACAATGTACAAAAATATCAAGCATTTATAAATTAATGTATCTCTTTTGTTGTAATATGCAGAGGTCATAAAAATCCACCATATTCAGGAAATAAACTATATTATCTATTGTTAAAATTATCTAGGACAAATCCCAGATCTAACTGGGTTCCTTAGTTCAGCGTAGAAACTTCCTTATATCTACAAGAAGAAATCAGGGACACTTGCAAGTTAACCTTTATTCATCTAAAATTTCAAGACTGCTTCTGATTGAGGAATACAAACTTACTTGGATATTCTCTGAGATGCTACTTTCCTGATATTGACTGGGGGCTTAGGGACCAAATGTGAAGATGCACTCTGGGATGACATCACTTTGTGCAGACCAGATGCATTCTGGACTTCAGAAATGGAATTTGATCCTCTGCGACTACAAGAACTAGATGACAAGGCTGTAGAACTGAGACTGGATGCAGAACTGATATTGGATGTTGGGAAGCTGGCAAACAAAGCCTAGTAAAAAAGGGAAAAAAAGAATTTATTTTTTTATGACTAATCGAACCGTTCATATGATTAGATTTCTGTTTCTGAAAATAATAAAACCATTGTTTTTGTACAATACTAATTTCACAGTTCTTTGTATAATGGAGAAATGGTTGAATGTGTAACCCTCCTGTTGTACATGCCTTGCTTAGCCCTGTGAGTGTTTCTGCAGACAGACAAGCAGCTCTATTGCCCAGTGGGAAGAGTCAACAAAGCAACTTTTAACAGCATAATTGTCAGAGGCTAAGGAAAGGTCAGAACTGTTTTTCTTGGGGGCAGCAGATATCCCAATTTTTTTTTTGTTTCTTTGTTTTGTTTTCTGGCTGCTATGTGCTCCAATCAGCATACAGGGACCAGGATCTAACACTGACCCAGTCTTGGATTCACCTTCAAAGAAAACTACCCTGCTGTGGGCCCTTATAACAGATGCTGAGGAGACAGGGGAAGCTACTTTGGGGGGGGGGGATAGCAATGATTAAAAGTTTTGATTACAGAGAAAAGATTGACCTCTCAGCAAAAACAAACTAAACTGAACTAAAAACCTTAATCAGGCATGAATCAGCTGTAATTTGAGATGGAAGACAAAGGAAATTCAGACAGATCTCCCTAGCAATAGTTTAAAATCCAAAAATCTGCACTGTTTTTCTAGGTGGAGAAAACCTAGAAAAACCAGAGAAATCAGAAACTTGTTGATGGCTGAAGTAATGCATTTTCTCACAGATGATACTGGGGTGACAATCCTGGATGACAAAAGAGGCATCTCAAGGTCAGCAAATATAAACTTCGTCTAGTATAAAAAAGTGCAATGAATGCATCTGAAGGAATCGCTGAGAGCTGTTGAATGTAGAGTGAGCCAAATAATATGTACACAGTAGCATGAGTTGTGTCGTATTCAATATAAACATTTCCAACAAACACTAGGATTTCTATAGGGCTATTTGTGTGGTTTTAAATTTCATTATTTCCCATGTGAAAAATATTCTAGGCCTTATTATTCAGATGTACTCTTTAGACACAGACTTAGAGATGGAACAAGATCTCAAGAGAACATATGATCTTACCAGCTAGAATGGATCAGTAAATGCTATTTGTGAATTATTAGAAGCTCAATACAATTTCAATGTATTTCAAGTCACAGAGAATACAGCCATTACTTTTATTTCAGATATTCAAATAATGTACTAGGGCATATATATATATTAAAATAGTGATAGTTTTCCATTGTACCAATGTTTCTGATTTGAAAACAGTCAAACTTTTCTCACATTGCATGAATCAAGATAACCACAATCAAAGCTTAAATTTACATAAAGACCAGGTATGTATTTATCTAATTTATGTGGCCGCCCATCTCCCAAGCAAGTAATTTTGGTTATGCAGAACTAAAACAATAAATATCTAATATCTTTGTCATTAACAAATATTATAACATTTAAAACAATAAAAACACTTAAAGCAAGAATAATAGACAAAGGGATGTTAATAGCAATATGGGCACCTCACTAGTTCACTCATCCCCTGCTGGTTTTACCAGGTCTTCAGGGACTTTTGGAAGCTTAGAAACAATGAAAGTATACTTACCTTGGGCAGGGCGGGGGAAAGATTCCACAACACAGGGCCACTGCAGAAAACGCCTACTGCCTAGGTGCCACCATATATAATTCCCTAGATGACTGACTCCATATGTCCATTCTGTTAAATCTGATAGATGAAATTGGGCAATGGTGGCCCCTCAAACAATCCAGTCCCATGTCAAGTAGGGCTTTAAGGTCAACACCAACACCTTGAATTGGACCTGGAAACAAACTGGTAACCAATCCAGCTTGTGCTGCAGACATGTAATGTGTGCTGTACAAAAATCAGATAACTGCTCACACCGCATCTTCCACCAGCTGAAGTTTCCAGATATTCCTCAAGGGCAGTCTAGAGTGTGGCCAAGGCATGAATGACCATGAGTAAGGCCGCTTGATCCAGGAACAAGTGCAATAGATGCATGATATACCACTTGTTTATCAAACAGGACTCATGAATCCTTGAGGACCTTCAGATTGCACACAGATTGTTTTGGACAGTGCAACCCCATCCAGCACCAGAAAGTTATAATCCTAGAACCAGAGGGCCCCCAAACCCCAAACCACTCACTCTTGCCAGGATTCGGCTGAAACCTGTTGTTTCCCATCCAGATACTCACAGCCCCCAGACACTGGGATAGGACATCTATAGAATGCTTAATTTGCCAGAAGCAAAGATGTACAGTCTGGTGTTATCAACATACTGATCTACCTCACTGCCTAGCAATGGATACGTTCACCCAGCAGTCCCATGTAGATGTTAAACAGAAGAGGGAAGAGCACCAATCCCTGCGTAACCCCAGAGTGGGGGCCAGGGGCAGAATCTTTCCTCCCCAATCACCATGGACTGGAATAGACTCCAGAAAAAGGAAGTGAACCAGAACAAACTCATGCCGCTCACCTCAATCCTCCACGTTGATCCAGAAGGATACCATGGTCGATGGCATCGAAAGCCACCAAGAGGTCAAGTAAGGCAAGGATCCCACCCAAGCCAGAGATCATTCAAAAGTATTACTAATGCTTTTGAAGTGAGAAATGAAAACTGCAATGAAAAAGGTAGAAATTCCCTACCTTCTTGACAAAATAGAAAGAGGATGATCTATGTACACTGTAATATATAAATAACTGGGAAATGGTGTGGGAAAGATAGGATAAAAATCTAATTAATAGAAATATAAATTTAGTATGTATTACGAGCCCTGTGTGTAAAACATTAAGTATTTCAAGAATTTGGCAACCAGATAACAAGTATGGAGCATCATCCTATTTCTTTCATCATGGTTAAACATTTACCATTTATCATTTGTTATTAAGCATTTATCATTTGAATAGTTCTTTGCTGTGTGCATCTAGGTTTGAAACAGGAAGTCATATAGATATTAGGCCGAATCAGACAATTCGTTTCTTTACTGTTTTCTAACAAATCATCTTAGATCAATGAAATCAGGCCAATACATTTGAGTGAGCCATGGCCACATTTTTCTACAGTTTCACTTAGTCAAAGACTGCTTAAGGGAGGGAAGAAAGGCCTAGCAAATTATTGTTAGGCAAATTAAATCAACTTACTAAACCTGGCAACAGGATCTGTAGTCTTTTTTTAAAAAAATGTTTCTTTATTTGTGTTGAAGAAATTGTTTTCTTGAAGAATAATTGATACTAGGTTGAAAATAGTGCTATGGGACTGTTTAACAGCACCTATGTTAGCTACAAATTACCACACATACATATTGCATTTCAAAGCCAGAACAAACCCTGCTTATACTCAGAAACATTCACAAAATTGCATGTGTGTATGTATACCAATTTTCTGAAATATGACCAAATGATTAATCTAATTTAATAGTTTGGCCAGCAACAGCCACCTTCTCCCACACACTCTTGAGCAAGAAATCTTTAAAATGTCTGTTAGAATAGATAAATATTAGGAAATCATTGCAGTTTGCACAATGTTGGTTCTGTGACTTATTCAAACCACAATTTATACAAATAACAGCTCATAATACGCTGTACATGGCACCATTCAATATAATGAAATATCAAAAAATCAAATCAAATCAAATCAAAAATTAACAACAACCCACTAGCATTCAGGCAGCAGGAAAAGAACTAAAAATCTCATTTCCTATCATCATGTGAACGAAAACATAATTGTCTGCGTATTCCAAAGCCAAAAACCATGTACAGGATTTTGATTCTCCTGCTAAAGAAAAGTCTCCAGTCTTTGTCACCTCAACTCATTTTGCAAAGATAACTCAATATTCATTTTGAAGTAGACAGAACAAGTTACAAATTGTTTGAACTTTGCAATAACTCTATGGAAATAACTGGAATTATTATTTGAGGAAGAAAGTTAGCATCTTATCCTAGAAGACCTAAACAGATCACAATCCGTGTCTTTGACCTTCACCTTACAAAACTCCCCTTTTATGTTGTAAACATTTGATTGAGAGTGTTCTCCTTTGAGAGTTCCTGTTCAGCAATAAAAGCTAATAAATATTCTGATGCTTCAAGATTTTGGTGGTCGGTTTGAAGGAGGGCTAAGTAATCTGGGGGCCAGTCAGTGAAGGATTTTCTCAATTAAGGTTCTCACTGTCCTAGCCAATATGATTAATGGCTGGATACAGCAGGCTCTGTAGTTCAGTAATATCGAGAGCCCTTCTTCCTCATTCCTGTTTTAAAGGAAGTGGTAGAGATCAAATGCTGAGAACTTGGAACTGGATGAGAGAGATCTGGCTCAGTGTTTATAGTTTCTTGTACAATTGTAGCTTCCTCTGTATCTGTGGTTTTCTTTTCTTTTGTTGTTAAGGGAGAGCCTCAGATACAGATAGTCCTCGACTTACAACAGTACATTTAGTGAACATTCAATATTACAACAGCACTGAACAACGTGGTTTATGACTGTTTTCACACTAACGACCATTGCAACATCTCCATGGTCATGTGATCAAAACTCAAATGCTTGGCAACTGGTTCATATTTATGACGGTTACATGTCGGAGTCATGTGCGACCTTCTGATGAGCAAAGTGAATGGGGAAGCCAGGTTCACTTAACAACCATGTTACTAACTTAGCAGCTGCAGTGATTCACTTGATAACTGTGGTAAGAAAGGTCATAAAATGGGGCAAAATTCACTTAACAACTGTCTCACTTAGCAACAGAAATGTTGGGCTCAATTGTGCTCATAAGTCGAGGATTACCTGTATCTGTCAAAATTCATTCTTCATCTCTCTCACTTCCCCATAAAGACAGTAATTATTGGGCCATCACCCTAAATGGATCAGTGTGGAGCTAGGTTCCTAATAGCACAGTGGTTCTCAACCTTTTTAATGCCGCGACCCCCAACCAGTCGTAAGTCGAGGACTAAACTGGTCGTAAGTCGAGGACTAAACCGGTCATA